GAAGCAGATCTTTGATGTGCAATATCCATCAGTATATGTGTTGCTTTTATTGGATAACAACTGAATAAAACTGTTTGGGCCAATTTCTTAGCAGAAAATCAAAACAGAGAAAGAGAGAGAGAGAGAGTAGGCAGAGTCAGGAAGACACCATGTAGCTGTTGAAGGAGAAAGACGCCTGCCTGAACCTTACCAGTAGACCACAGCCTCGTGGTGATACAAAGATTAATATAAATAGGTTCATTTAAGATGTAAGAGTTAGTTAATAAGAAGCCTAAACCATTGAGCAAACAGTGTTGTAATTAATACAGTTTCTGTGTGATTATTCCAGTCTTGGAGGTCTGGAAACGAATGAGCAGTCTCTGTTTATAGATCTTGGCGGAAAGGAACTTGTAACTAGACTCAGAAAGGCTAGGATTACAATGCCAGTTCAAAAGCAGATTGCTTTATCTGTCTTTCTACATCTTTGTCCCTAAAACTGGTAGAATAGTAATGTTCAAAAAACCCCAGAGGACTGAGTTAAACTACCTGACATGCAACTTTCTGTTTCAGTTCGCACATGTTTCAAAATACTTGAAAAGACAGTTCAAATACCTTGAAATCCAGCTGACAGAGTCTTATTGAGTACTCTCCAAGCATGGAAGAAGCAAACACCACAAGCTCAGGCTAACTCACAGCTACAGAGAAAGGCCTTCCAAAGACAAGGAGGAAGGAGAGAGGGAACAAATATGCACAACTTGGTTTTTCATCATTCTTCTCATTTTCAAAGGACGTAATTGAATATACAGTGCAGTAGATATACTAACTGTTCACAAAACAAGGTAAAAAAACAACCACCATGTAAACCATATCCAGCCTAATTAAACTTCTTATACAGTATGCATGAAGATATTTATGGAAAGAACATTATCAGAGGCTGAATTTCTCATAGAAGTTATAGTTATAATAAAATGTCAAGAATGATATAAGCGATTTGTGTGTTACTATGACCGCAAGAAATCTTTGAAACTTTAATTTTTCCCCTGGAACAAGGTCTCCTTGGCTCCCATAACCTTTCCTTCACACACTCTGCTTTCTCTGACATCAAGCATTCTTGATTAAGAAGTTAATCTACGACACAGAGGGCAAAGACGGTCATAAAGTGAAATTGCATTTGTCCTCCAGTATGTGTCCTTAGAACGTGACGAGTTCTTGTCACTATGCTTCCTCCTAAAGTGAGTCGTTGCTTCTGTGAATTTAAGATAGATCCAGCATTGCATTTGACCAAATTATTAAATTTTCTGGCCTGAGTAGTTGAAATCCCCTCAACTCCAGAGCTAATCATTAAGCTTCGCAGAAATGCAAGGATGTATATGATTAGATCTTACCTAGAAAACAATTATTTATGTTTATTGGCCATTTTATTCTTTAAATTTTGAGTAATGAAAATATTGAGCCTCTCTGTAATTTTTCGGGCATATTGGTCATGTATGTGGCTCAGATTCACAAGGGTATGTATGCCATTGCAATATTTTGCCTTTCTGAGACTGTCACTTCAGTTTTCTTTAAACCATGAATTTCAAGTAACGTTCCAACTTTTAGACTTCAAAAACCTGGCATTAGAAAAACCTAAATAAAACAAACAAACAAAAAAGTGTAGATTTGAGTGTAAGAACTCTTATATGTTCTTTACAAGACAAAGACTCCTCCTGCCCTGGGTGGCCTGGAACCATGTTCCTCCTGCCTTGGCCTCTAAAAGCTGGGATTGCAAATGTGATGCCATAACAGCCCACTATTTAAGAATTTCCCAGTGTTTCCTACTTGTCCATGTGTGTGAACATTTGTATGCAGGAGAGCATGCAGCTTGTATGTGTGTATATGTTTATATGCTCTGCTGATTTGAGTGAGACAATTTCTGTAAGTCTCAGGTGCTTGAATACTTTATTCTCAGCTGTTGGACCTTTTGGGGGAGGTTTGGGAGGCATTTATCAGGGGCAGCAGAGTTCAAGGTTTCAAACATCTCACTCTATTTTCTGTTAGTTTTTCTGCTTGTAAGTAGAGATGTGGTTCAGCTACCAGCTTCAGCCACCATGTCTGCCACCTGTTATTTCTACTTTTATGGACTCTAACTCCCTGCTAGCATTAAACACAAAATAAACTCTCTTTTTTATTCTATTTTTTGCCTTGACCTTGTTGTTTGAGGAATTTTTCCAGGCCCATAAAAATAAAAATTGAATCAGCTGCAATGCGGGATTATTTCCACAAATAGGGAACAATGTGACCTTTCTCAGTCCGGCTATGCATTCTATTTTATTATGCATAAACTCAATATTGAACCTTTCTGACATTTGGGGTTTCTTTTAGTTCTAAAATACTGCAATCCTAGAGTGTTCCAGGGTGATGGAAAAGAACTCTGTATTCAATGTTGTGTTTCCACTTCACCGATGCAGAAATGACTTAAAATAATGTGGGAATTGCACACATTTGATTTTAAATGCAGACCATTCCTTTTCTGAGGTTCTTGTCTATTCACCATTTTTAAAAATCTATGTTACATATATTGTGAGCTTTCTTTCTTAGTGAACTATCAAGAAAACCTATCACAACATGAGAACACAGGGGCGGTGCCTGTTGTTAGCCTGACACTTACCCAAACAGATGACAAGGACCCCACAATACTGAGTACTAAGCACTAGCCAGTGTCTAGGTTTGATGAGACAGTTCTTAAACTCAAGAAGCTTAAAGAGTAAAGTGAGATGATAGAGCTCAGCATAGCAGCCGAAACCTGTTCATTGAAGAGAGTAGATTTCAACCTCTTGAATGACTGTGTTCCTCAGATACAGTCCACTTTTTAAAGAATGATTCTTCTTAGTATTCGTAGGTTTTTATTTCTTTTTCATGTAACAGCTTCTGGGCCATACTGTCACCCTGTTAATCAGCCTGCACTTACTTCTTGGAGTTCCAAGAGTGCAACGCAAACTTCTCTTTTTCATCTTCAGAGATTTACAATCCCATTTGTTTTTTAAGTTTTTGGAAGGAAGCAAAAAAAAAAAATTGGCTTTTCGTAAGAACTGTGCTTCTTGGAAGTTTTGGAAAATGTAAATTGTAGTCAAGAGCCCTGCTCACAGGTGAAACTTTATCTGGTCATCTTGTCATGAGCACTGACAGTTCTGGCTCAAGCTGAGGTTAAGAAAAATGCTGGAATGAACCTGGAAGCCGTCATATGTTCCTCATCCACCACCTCATTAATCACAAACTGAAGATTGCCTCCGAAACAATGCTGCTTTATTGTGGAAGTAATCCTCCGTTACAGTTTGAGCTACTAAGCAATGTTCAAGAATTCAGACTCTCCTCCATGCCCTGCCAAGCACGGCTGACCCATGGCAATCACGATACCATTCACTGATAATTAAAGTGGACGGAAGCATCCTGGGCAATGATATCATTCTTAGACTGAAGTGAATGGAATGTGCTCTAAAGTGGTTCCTTGTAGACCAATATCAGTATGTTTCGAATTCTTTGTAGGTCTAGTGTGGTAGCTGATGGCTGGATGCACAATGCATCCAGTAAATATTAATTTTATCGCTCTGTGCTTCAGAACACTCCCTGTCCATCACTGGCCATAGTAATTCCCAAGTCATTTCCAGCTTGCAGAGTTTTGAGGCAGTATCAGTATGTAATGCCATTAGGAGTCAATTGTGGAGGAAATGGGGAAAAGATAATGATGACAATAGTGTGCAATCCTGATTTATGTGCACAGGATTCTAGAAGCACAAATAACCACTTAGGGAAATGTGTTCATTTAACTGTGCTGGCACCACAATGTATCACCATGTCCAGAGAGCAACGGCGCCTCTATGAGCAGTTAATTTTTACTGAGAAACAGTTGACTGTCCCAGAAGACTATGGTTATTATGAAAAATGTTCACGTCTAAATGATAAATATGTTTGCTAGGCAGAAAACTTTTACATGCTCACAATAGAGAAAATGAATGTGTTAAGTATTCACACCTTTACAAAAAAAGAAAAACATTTGGAAACAGTATTTATATTTATGGGTCTTTTGAGAAATAATAGTTTGTCTTTTGGAATTACTCTCTCTCCCTCTTAAACTGTATTGGTTTTTATCTTTCTGTAGATTAGTCCCCTTCTGAGATAAAACTCAAAAATTCTAACAATAAAAAATAAGTAACAATGCCCTTAAGTGATCTAAAGTCACCTACAGTTTTATGAAGATAAATTCCACTTAGGTTACAGGAGAGAATTTAATTTTGACTAAATCAATTAATGCTCTAAGTATGAATCCTAAGGTTTGGAAACCTTAGGAAGAGATTTAGCCTACAGTTTCATAGAATTTAAAAATTCATAACCCTTTGTCATCAAAAACACAAAGAAAACTGAAATCAGAGTACATGATTATCCTGTTAGCATCATGTTCCCTTCTCTTTATCATTCCTTACTCTTCGACTTGGTTCTAGAAATTTCCTATTTCCAGCACTTCCAGAATCTCTTCCTGCAACGGTTGTGTATCTGTGTAGATTCCGCCATGTAATTCCATACTATCATTTTGTTTACTCTTAACACGTCACCGCAATTCCCATGACCCAGTCTCTGATTCTTCTCCATGTTGACCACATTTTCTTAACTATTAATCCATTCTGCTTTTTGTTTTTTTTTTAACCTTAAAATGTCATCTCCATTACATCTTGGTTCTTTGGTCTTACTACCTGTTTGTTATTTTTGAATAGCATTGCACAGTGCCTTGACTTTCTCTGTGTTTTATGCCTTTTCATTAGTGAGTCAGGCATGACCAGCATTCCAGTCCCAGTCTGTGCCCCAAGACATGAGCCTCTGCTTTGCATTCTGTTAGTGTATTGCTCTTCCTCTCCATCTCCAAGCTCTGCAGCATTCACCTGTCCATAGGGTGAGAGTGCCCTCTTTCTTCCTGTCCCCACTAATATCAGTTTTTCTATTTCATAACTAATCTCAGAGGCACTCTATAGAAATAAAAGTTCATCTGTTACCTCCAATCAATCACGAAGTCTTGCCAGTCTGCTCAGTCTGGTGCGTCCCCCTTTTGTTTCTATTGCTTCAGTTTCATCCATAATGGGCTCAACCTTAGCCAATGTCTCAGCTGACCCCAGGAGGTCTCTGATTCCTAGTTGGTTAATCTGGTAACTGATGGAAGCAACTTGTTTATTCTGCCATTGTTTATTTTGCTGTACATGTTTTTACTTACTCATGCCTTGCACTGGGCATGGATTAATTTTTAACTAACTGTATTGAACTACCACAGTTTATATAATGATATCAATTTCTTATAATATAAAACTTCTCTGGTGCTAGATTGAGACTAATAATAATAGTAATAATAATAGTAAGTGTTCATATATGAGGTTTCTGAACAGATTTGTGGATAGACATAGTATGGGTGATCAGAGCTTAAACTGATTGATAAAAGACCCCTTCCAAAAGCACTTCAATAGCTCAGGAGTGAGGACCCAGGTTCAGTTTGGGGCACCTACAGGAGCACCTCACATCTATCCATAACTTCAGCTCCAGGGGACCTGACTCTTCAGTTTTCTGCAGGTACCTGCACAGGTGTTTACTTCCCAACCCCTGACAGACATTTACCAATAAAAAATAAATAAAACATTTAAAGTTCTCATATCAAAAATAAAATCTTATTTTGACTATAAAGAAGTTGTCTCACTACATTTAGCAGCTGAAGGGAGGTCTAGAGGTTTACGTGACGTTTTAGTCAAAATCGTGGTTTTACTCAGTTGTCACTTCTCAGATAGGCTATGAAGTCCACACTGCATACCATGCACAGGACCTCTTCCAACAATCTCCACTGAAAAGTTCCTTTTCAAAGTATCTTTCATTTATATGTAAGCAAATTGAGGGTATAAAATAGACCAGTAATCTGCTAGCAGCAGAGAATTCTAAATTTCTTAAAATATATTTTATTAGTGAAAATACATATTGACATAATCCCCAGAGCAGAATCTTAATGCATTTTATCCCTCAATTCTCAATACTGTAAAGGCTTGAACAATAAAATCATCCTTCATTATGTATTTTATCCCAGTTAAATATTTGAAAACCACCATCTGGCAAGAAAATCAAATTTAACCACTAATTTGTTTTAAAAATAAGTGCTTCTCTAAGACATCTTCTCATCAAGTGAAAAATGAAACCATATATATATATATATAGCTTTCACAAATAGATAAGCATGCATATTCATATGTGTATATTAAATGCATGTTTATTATTATACATGTATATATAATTATACAATTGATTTTACTTCATTTCCCTATGGCGAAATTGTTGATGAATAATTCTTGAAGTATGTAAGAAATATTTTCTTGATTCGCTCATTTGGTTCCAATGTCTGTTACAAACATCTCTATGAGCAAACATGAGTATAAAATAACCCTCACATGGCCTTGCCATTTATATGACACTTAACAAAAGACATAAGAGCTGTCATTGTTCTTTTTTTGAACTATCATTGTGTTGGATTAACAAATGGATACAACACCTAATTCAGTATCTTCTCTACTGATTCCCATTTGCTCTCGTGAAGCATATGAGACATTAATAAATTTCCCATCTTGTTCAGTTGGGAGATATAAGGAGTAGATCTGTTGAAAAAATCTTGCAAGTTAGGTAAAGGAAGAGTTACAAATGAGAAACAGACTTCTGAGTCTCCTGGGGTCAAAGGGGATGTCGAGTTTGTGTGGGAGGGTGGTGTGGGCTTACAGGGGTCAGGGGTGGGGCAAATCCTTTACCCAGCATCTCAAGAACATAATAGGCTGAAAAAGACTATTTTGCCAAAAAAGCAAGAATGTGTAAAAATTCATCCTATAAAAGAATTAAATATTTTCATGTCTACATTTTCTTAAGACTAGAGTACTTTTGAATAGAATTATGAATAAAACTTAATGATTTCAAATGTATATTTATTTAACAAATCCCACAACTGTCTCATAGATAATATCTAAACAATACTCATGCTTGTTATTTAATATAGTGCAAATACCCTGTGTAAAATTCTGGATTTTCTATTTGTCTGGAAGAGTCATTATAGACACAGTGTTGGGGTGTAAATATTTTCAGGAATCCTACCATTATTAAATTTCCATGCAGCTTTGCAAAGCTTTAGTCCTCTCGTATATATTTAAAATAATTTGGTTCAGGGTTTTGTGAAGGGATGAATATAAAGATTCCATATACTGTATCAAGCTTAATTAAGAAATGCTAATATCTAAAGTAGAAAATTATCATTAACTAGTCATATTGTCAGCTCAAATGCAGTAGTGGCTATAGTAGCTGTGTTTTCAATGAATTAAGGTTTGTGTGTCTGGCCAAGCTGTTCTTCAATGACAGGAACCCCTTATACTTAGTTCTTTAATAATCTCTAAATGCACCCATTCATTGTTCAATATGTTCCACATGTCCCGATGAAATGAGGGAAGCCAGGTCAAATTCAACAATTTTCAGACATGTAAGAATATAGCATTTCATTGTCACAGAAGTACTTTCCACATAGGGTCCCTGAGAGTAACCCATTGAGTGGGGTTTACATTCTTTTACCCTTTGTTACATATTTTAAAAGTTAGCATTACTGTCAAAGTATAAAACCTGTATTTTAGGATGGTATTGCAGCTGTACTTAGGAATCAAATCAAGTCCTGCTGCTAATTATTTTCTTCCCTTCTCAGTCATCCCCATCACTGAGATCCTTTCCAGTTCTTTGCTACCATATCCACTAGAGTTCACGCATTAAAGGACAGCCTAGTGAACACAAACTAAGAACGCAGACTGATGCACCCACTTACACTGACTTTACCCTTCAAACCTTCACTACTTGAAATATGTGTACTTCAAATTGCTTAAAATGTCTGAGAAATATTAAGTTATTTAATCCTACAAAAATACCACGTTGGAGGCGATGTCTTCCGTCCTCCTGAAAGAAGAAGAAACTGAAGTGCAGAGGATTCATGATCATAGCAGCCATATAGAGACCCAAACCCAGTTATTTACATAATTCTATGGGTCCTTTCCGTGTCTAATGATACTCTGTAAAAGATCCTCAACCTTTCTGTGCCTTTCCTTATCTATAAAATGGCAGTGCCAATGGTGGTGACTTCAGGTGCCATACACGGGTAACTGTGCTTGGAAGCAGTCCTGTGGTATTCCTACCAAGTCCCTCTCTGGCTGTTTTGGGTTCAAAAGTACCTCACTTGCTTGCGGAGAGATTGACTTTCAGTTGGGACTTTTAAGTATAGCATGGTCTCAGTGCAGATATGCCTTCCCAGAAGCCTTTCCAGCACCTGCTTCTACCCACCTTTTCATCCGAAATCTTGGGAAATCAGTCCCAAGAAAAAAGAAGATGCGTTTTCTATTTAGCTAAACAGGTTTTTCCATTGAGTACTTCTCAGGGAAGTACATATTAGTATAAGTATATGTACATGTATGTGTATACTCAGTAATATTATGTATGTATGCAAATGTTTGTATGTATATATGTATACATATACACATAAAGATACACACACACATATATATATAAACTCAGTAAATATTATCTCTCTTCCTATCTTTACTGTTATCAATATCTTTGCTAGTAACTGTAGATTAGGTATTAGGATATTTGAACATAGTATAATTAAAAATGAAAACTTGGCTGTCATTTTCCATTGTATTTCCAATTTATGATGGAGGATTGTTAATTCATTTTTTCTTTCAAAACAAAGTTGTGTAATGATTACATAGAGTATATCAATATTTTGTTTCATGTATATTTCAGAAACTATGTATCTATGTTGTGATAAATTTTCACAATAGCCTAAAAGTATCTGTGAATTTTCTATTAGAATTACTAATTTTCTATAAATGTTTCCTGGCCGCCCATTAGAGAACCATCACCAAATCGAGAAGGATAAATAACCTGGGGGATATCGACAGAATGTTGAATATAAGAAACTGAGCCTGGGGATGGTGACACAAGCCTTTAATTCCAGCACTCAGAGAGGCAGAGGTAGGCATAGCTCGTGAGTTCTAGACCAGTCTGAACCATGAGGTGAATTCCAGGACAGCCAGGGATACACAGAGAAACTCTGTTTCCAACTACCACCCCACAAAAAACAGGGGTGGGAGAAGCTGAATATTTTTGGCTAAAAATAGTAGGATAAAAATCAAGCATGCTTCTTCTTTCAATTAAAGGGAAAGATGTTTTGTATTATTCTTTAAAACTGATGAAAATTAAAGTATTACATCTTGAGCAATAGCATAAATTATCTAATACAAAATTACTTCTCTTTCATGTGACAGCAATTGATGTGGGACTCCACTCTGTATTCTGTGAATATGTTTTATTACCATTAATTAATAAAGAATCTGTTTCAGCCTATGGCAGGGCAGAGGATAGACAGACTAGACGAGATACATCGAGGTAAAGTAGGTGAAGTGAGCGAGATGCCATATAGTGCTGAAGGAAAAGAAGCGGGAAGCTTACCAGTAGGCCACAGCCTCGTGGCGATGCACGGATAAATAGAAATGGGTGAATTAAAGATTTAAGAGCTAGAAATACACCCGAGTCATTGGCCAAGCAGTGTTGTAATTAATCTAGTTTCTGTGTGATTGATTATTCATGACTGGGTGGCTGGGAAGCTAAAGGACAGTCTCTGTTTACAACTAATCAGAGTGTCAAGTTTATGGGGTAAGCAACTATATATGTTTTTCTTTACTCTTCTCATTGTGTGTGATATGTGCATATCTATGCTGTACACGTAGGAGGATGTGTGATGGATACATGTGTAGTGTACACATAGATAGTGTATGATGTGTACACATGTGAGCTATAAACATAGAGGACTGTGTTGATGGATACATATGTGTGGTACACACATAAGGAAGGGTGTGTGATGAATACATGTGTGCTGTATACATATGGTAATGTATGTGATGGATAAATATGTGTGCAGTAAACAGGGGAGTGTGTGTGATGGATACATGTGTGCTGTACACATATGAGAGTGTGTGTGATGTGTACACATGTGTGTTATAAACATAGGAGAGTGTGATGGATACATATGTGTGGTACACATACATGATAGGGTGTGTGATGGATACATGTGTGGTGTGCACATAGATTAGTGCATGTGATGGATACATATGTGTAGTGTA